ATCATCCAGTAATCAAAATGAAAGGGCTCCATCTTCATCACCTCCTTGATGGCTTCCTCCTCGAAATCAAACTGGAATTTACCCATGCCAAGGTCCGCACCAGCAACTCGATCTTCCAGTTTCCAGATTCTCGGGAGCATATACAAGAGAGCTTTTATATCCTGCATCTGAGGGTTCATGCATCTGCCAATGAGAGTGCGTGAATACCCTTCGATGAGACTCCTGTTGTCAAACTTAGGCACCGTGAATTTCAGCCGCTTGATCGAAGCCTCCGCAATCTTCTTCGCCACCGATTGTTTTAGCACCGTACTCTGTGACATCGCGTTTTGACAACCAAAAATACACCACAAAAGTGAAGATAAGAGATGGATAATTGAGATTTGAGAGTAGTTGTGAGGATCTCTTCTCTTCGCTTCTGTTAAGTAGTGCTCCTGCTTTCCTTGTTTTAGCCCGTCATTGATTGTTAATTGATACTCCTCTTTCTTTAAGATTACATCACAGCTTTTAAGGCTTCTCCTCTGATTCCTCCGATCTTCCTGGTTTAATTTTATCCTACCGGAGATCAAGCCTGGATTCAAACCGGTTTCCTTTTTCCTTCCGAAATTTCCCCATAATGGAATCTGCTTTGATTTTCTGCAGATCCCTCCGAGAATAAGCTCTGTTGTTGCAGAGATCCGCCTTTCCTTCTGTCGTCGAGAATTTCTTTGCCTTTTGATCCGCGTCATTAAACCCGAGACACACTTCCACATTCACCGTTAATACCCACTTTAAAACCGTATCAGATCCGCTTTGACTAAAATTTTCCTTTTCGCGATTTGGATTTAGTATCACCACACATGGATTCTTCGATTGCTGAGCAAACTCCATCGAATCCATTCACAGCTATCTCCCTTCCTCAGTCGTCATCGAGAGAGTTTCTCCTTCTCATTGCCCCTAATCAATTATCAGTAGGTCATGACATTTGAGTTTACGTTTTATACTACACTAGATTATAACATGTGCGTCCGCACGGGAATTTTTTGTTTTTTTATTTCTAATATAATTTATATTTACTTTTTTTATTTAAATAAATCGAATTTGTTTTTATTATTTTTTTTTTAAATCAAGAATTTTGTCATTATGTTTTAATTTTAAATAATATAGATTTGTATATTAGTAGAATAAGAGTATAAGTTAATTAAGTATATATCGATCTAATGTTAATTATGAACTTTGTTATTATGTAAAATTATATTTACACATAAATAATTTATATATTTGTGAATTGACTAACCCATCTATTTAATTGTTTCAAATTATTTTTTAATATCTTACATGTTTTGACAAATGAACTCGTAAATACATCTTATTTTTAAGTTCTATTTTAATATAAATCTGAAAATCTTATTGAAAATATTTTTTAAATTTGAATCGAAGCGGATATGTTGGAACTTATTTACATGTTTACATGTTTTGACAAATTGAGTTTTTTTTTTCAAAAAAAAAACTCAATTTTCAGATTTATATTAAAATAGAACTTAAAAATATATTAGTTTATTAATATTATACTAAATTAACTTATTTGGTAAATTTAAATTAAAATCAATTTTTTTTATTTGGCAACAGAAATAACAACTATCTAAAAACAGAATAATAAGGAACTAAGTAAAAATTCTGTTTGGACACAAAATACTCTTTCCATTTAATAATATAAATAATCATGCGAATGCATAACAAGCAGAATAATATTAGTCAATCAATTGAGACAAGATAAAGGCGACAAATTTATAAGCCGTGAAACTAATTAAAACGGAAAATAATGGGTAACTAATAACTACCAAAAGAAAATGTGAGTTAAAAAATCAAAAATAGCTGAAAAAACTTGTCGAGTTGCCACATAAGCCTCAAATATTTCTCATTTAATATATCAAAGATAGTTTACTAGAAGCAATATAATTTTTTTTTTCTTAACGATATCAATCACAAAATTACATGTTTATCATATATTAACCTATAAAGAATATATATATATATACATATATCTTCAACAAATTTATATATATTGAATCTCTTTTATGTGAGGCCTCCAATATAGGATCATGTGTCCAAAACCGGTGGTGCAAACATGAATGAAAAAAAAATACATAAAACTTTGAAGGACAAGTATGAGATACCCTCAAATCATTAAAGCGTTAATGGTAATTGGGAATGGAAGATCTTGACAAAAACCAATTGTAACAAAACCATAGAGAGTCCACACAGTCCTTCTAACCACTAGACCACAGTCATACATGCAAGTGTGTGTTGTGTTTTTTTCCCAAGAAAGAAAAACTATGAAATATCTTTAAATCATTAAGGCGTTAATGGTAACTGGAAATGAAAGAACTTTACAAACGCGAATTGTGAATAAACCATGTAGAGTAAAAACAAGATCAAGGTCATAAATACATAAAGTAATGAGAAAATTGAAAAGATTGTTTTCATTATTCCAATCACAGCGAAACGAAAAAGCCAAGGCATAGTGAAATTTTGGATATTGGTGACCAATCACTGAGACATGGTCACATGTTCAGATCAGGACTGGAGGATTTAAGATGGCATAATTAAGCAAGTCTTGGTCACGAACGAACACATACATGTCTTGTTTGGGTAAGCCTACCCAAACTTCTACATCTTCACCATCCTTTGAATCCATTAACACCACATACACTATGTTGTCATAGATGGCATGCGAAGCGGATCCAATCCATACCGGCGTACCCCATCCGAAGTCAACCTCGTAGAAAGGCTTTTTGCACCAGCTAGACATTGTGTATAAGTCTACGTCTGGTTTTAACTCTGCCATGAAATTTCCCATCACACTCAACAAGTTTTGACCAAGTGTGGTTGTGGTGATGGTACTAGCAGTATTGTAGCCTTGGAGATTCTCTTCGATCATCTCATTGACTTCTTCTTTGGCCTTTCTAAACTCAGCAACGATTTTGCCGATCTCCATCTGGCTCTCTGAGCCTTCCTTGAGAAAGAAGGCCGATTGTAGGTTGCCAATGGAGTCGCGTGACAAAACATTAGAGGGAATCCTAAGCCGCAAATCCATGGCTTGAGTCATCATCGTTGACTTTGGAGTGGCTGAGTTAGAGCGTGAGGCATTTCTTGCACATCTCCAAATAAGTGATGCAATGGCTTCCACACGTGTAGGTACCGGGACACTTTCGCTGGCGGCCTTGCGTTTGAGCTCAGCGATCTTAGCGGATTTGAAGACGAATCGATTGGTTACACACTTTCCTCTTAGCTCGAAAAGGTCATCCATTGAAGGAGACTTGAAAGAGCTATGGGGAGGAGGGTAAATGGTAGCTCCCGCAAACTGAGGAGTAGTCACCAGAACGTCACTAGATTCACCTTTGGCTGTAGCGGCCCACCTACTAACAAATGTCAACAACGAGGCCGCGTCACAGATTTTGTGAGATATGGCCACAGTGATCACAACTCCTGATCCGGATCCGAAGAAGCTGACCTGAATGCTCAACAATGGCCACGTCTCTGCGGATTCACCTGGTAAGATCTGGGGGAAGAATACTCCAAGAGAGTCGGTATTATCAAGGTTGTTCTTGAGGAAATCGGAGAGGGGAAGATCAGTGCGTGCTTCTGTGAACACGGCTCCTTCGTCGTTGCAGCTGATCGAGATGCCATCGATTCGTCCCGCGAGAGGATAGAAACTTGACAGAGTCTCCGATAGAGAGCTCTTCAGCCTTCGGGAGATGATCTCCGACGACTCTCCAGGGAGGGCTTTGAAGAAGAAGATTGTTGAAACGTAAACTGCTGGACAGGAGAGATCAAAGAGGGAGAGTGGAAGGCAATCATGAGGTGCGGGTGAAGCAGGTTTGATCACTTCTCTCCCTACAACCTCTAGCTTCAGCTCCATTATTTTCCTTTGATACGTGAAAGTCAAACAAGAAATTTCCAAAAGACAAAAGAGAAAAACTAGAAATGTCGACAGGTAAGAATGATTAAAACTGCAAGAAGACTTGTATCTGCCTCGGATGTCGTATTATTTATATATCTTTTTTGTTTAGAGGAAAATTTTATTTATATACCTTTGTATATTATGGAAATCGTGGAAATTGATATCGTTTATAAGGGATCGGCAAAGAAAGTAATCTCTAGATTCTTTGGATATCGGGGACAAGCAGGTTAATAACGCAGATTTTATGTACAAAGTCTGTAGTTCCTTGTGAGTTGTGACGTACTTTTAACAGCTTTTTGTTCTTTACAAAAGTAACTAAACAGCAACAAAGGAAAGAAAAAATAAGAAAGCATAGATCGAGAAATAATAAACGATGGAAACGATGAAGGTCGTAACAATTATATAAATCTGGGCTTCAGTTCCATTACTTTCCTTTGATACCTGGAAGTCAATTTTTTTTTTTCTTCTAAAGACAAAAAGAGAAAAACTATAAATGTCGACAGGTAAGAATGACTAAGCTTCAAGATTCAAAAAGACTTGCATGTGTCTCAGATGTCGTATTTATTTATTTATTTCGGTTATAAGGCATCGGCAAATATAGTATTCTGGAGATCAGTTTCAAAAAAAAAAAAAGTATTTTAGAGATTTGATCTCATCCGATCGAACTTCACAACTGTCTTGTTTGAGTCTAGTCCCATTGAGTTTTGATTTCAAATCATTTTCTACGTAAGGGGGTGTTATTGACTTACTGGTTGATTTGGTTCTATAAATTGAAATCAATTCCCTAGTAGATCAGATTTTAAATTTTTTTAACTAAATTAAAATCTAAACATTCAATAACTTTAAAAACTTTAAAATATTCTACTTTATATAATAAAATATAAAATATAACATTTTTCTCACGGTATTAATTAGAACTGTATAACTTAATTAATCAACCAAGGAAAATAATGAAAAAATAGTTCGCTAAAAGATCATTCTCTCTCCTCACGAGGGCGATAAAGCAAACCCTTCCTTTCGCAACCGCCATAGCCGTTCCCGGCGACGGCAGCCCCCTCCGATGGCCAAAAAGAGGCGCCCTCCAAAGTCTCCCTCCTCTCCCTCTCCACCGAATGTTTCCTCCTCCCCGTTTTCCCCTCCATCAACCGTGAAGGCCCCTGCCTCCGAATGTTCGCCGCCTCAGACGAACCCTTCCTCTGTTGACGTTCAGGACCCAGTTGCAGCCGATGCTTCTTCCACACCAGGTTGTCGATAACTCTCCTTCAGAGTCTGCTGGCGAGACATCTAAACCTGCTTGGATTGACCTATTCAAAGGTCCCTCAGGAGCGATGAAGAAGAAAGGAACCCCATTCCTACTCGATTCAGGGGAAATTTGTGTTAAGATCCCAAATGACGTGATTTCCAGAAATCAAAAGAGATGGGAATCCTTTGTTCTGGGTCAATTCCACGAAAATCTCCCGTCGAAGGGTGCTCTTTATGCCATTTCCAACGGAATTTGGAGCAGAAAGTTCAGAGATATAACCGTCTCTAAGTTAGGTCCGAAAGCAGTTCTCATTCGCATCCCGTGCCCAGCAACGAGGAGGAGAGTTCTGGGCCAAGCAATGTGGAGCATTGAAGGCCAATCCATGTTCGTCGCAGCTTGGGAACCTGGTTTAACACCAACCATGCCTGCCCTAACCTCGGTTCCGGTGTGGTTGGAGTTTAGGGGTGTTCCCCCACATTTCTTCTCCGAGGAAGGATTCGAACACGTCGCTGGAGCCTTAGGTCACCCTCTCCACCTCCACCCTTCTACAGCCAATATGACGAATCTTGAATGTGGAAAGGTTCTAACCATCATTAATCCTCTAGTTCCGATCCCTGAGGTAATGAATGTGCAGTTTGATTCTGGTGAAACTCACCGTGTTGAGGTTTCATGTCCTTGGTTACCACCTATATGCGATCACTGTCGCAAGGTGGGTCATAGCATCAGGAGATGCCCGGAGGCACCAATCACTTGTTCTATTTGCAAGTCCACGGCTCACGTCGACGAGAAATGTCCCCAGGCAAAGGGAAAAGAGCAGAAAGCTGTGGAGGAGGAAGTTATAAAAAATGCTTCTGACCTCAAAGCCTCCTCCTCAAGGAGGAAGAATCCTTCCAGACGGAAAAAGGATAAGAAAAGAGAATTGGCCTCTCTTCAGGCTGCCAAAGGAATTGTCATTCATCCTCCCAGCAATGAAGAGATTGTGGTAAAGCATCGGAAATCTAAAAAGAGCCTCAAACATGAGTTAACCTCCCCAGCGGATAAGTATCTGCTTAAAGGGAAGCAGGTTGCTATTACCTCTAGTGACAGTTCTTCTTCATCTGACAACGAGGAGCCCGATCCTGAACCCGAGGAAGAATCTTCCTCATCCAACTCTGAGTCTGAAGAGGATGATAATCCGGCTGATGACACCAGATTCATGGAGGTAGTTTCAAAAAAACTCCTACGTAAAAAATCGGTTACCTCGGGGAATCACCCCTCCAATATCTCTAATCGTAAAAGATGAAGCCTACTACATTCTGCTGGAATGTCAGAGGATTTAATTATAAGTTTAAACGGCATTGTTTCAAAACATGGCTACGGCAGACCAAGCCGTTATTCGGAAGCATTATAGAGACCCGTGTTAAGGAGAATAAGTCTGTTCGCTACTTCCATAGCACGTTTCCAGGGTGGAGTTTTGTTTCAAATTATGAGTTTGCGGAGCTGGGGCGTATCTGGGTTGGTTGGGATCCCTCGGTCTCCTTAACCGTCTTCTTCAAATCCAGTCAGATTATCACTTGCGTGATCCAGCTCCCTCATACCACCTCGGAGGTCTGTATTTCTTATATTTATGGTGTAAATACTAAAGAGGGTCGTCAACAGATGTGGTTTGACCTCCAGTCTCTCTCGGTGAACCCCGCCATCTCGTTTCTTCCTTGGGCTGTGATGGGTGACTTTAACCAAATCCTGAGTCCCTCAGAAAAATCAAATGGTGGAAGTAGGATAACTAGCGGAATGCAGGACTTCAGGGATTGTGTCGATTCTGCCGGTCTATTCGACCTCTCTATTCGTGGAAATTCTTTTACTTGGTGGAACCACCAAGAGGCGAACCCAATAGCTAAGAAACTCGACAGAATCCCCATAAATGACTCTTGGCAGATCAAATACCCTCTCTCCTTCGCTCACTTTGGAGAACCGGACTTCTCAGACCATTGCCCTGCTGTAATTGTGATTGGTGACTCCCAACCAAGTAAGAAGCCTTTCATGTTCTCTCATTTCCTTCTCAACCATCCAGAATTCCTCCCCCGTGTCGCCGTTCACTGGCATGAGTCCTCCGTTCCTAGATCTGCAATGTATGCCATTTCCAAAAAACTCAAGTCTCTGAAGCGAGTAATAAAGGACATCAACAGAGAATATTTCTCTGATTTGGAGCTCAGAGTCAAGGATGCTCACTCTCTTCTTATCGATTGTCAGAACAGGTTCTTGGCCTCTCCTTCTCCCCTTCTGGCTAGTGAAGAGAAGCAGGCTTATAATCGCTGGTTCTCTCTTGCTTTCGCCGAGGAGAAATTCCTGCTTCAGAAGTCTAGGGTAAAGTGGATTGAGAGTGGGGATGGTAACACTGCTTTTTTCCATAGAATGGTCGCAGCCCGTCATTCTGCAAACCAAATCCATTATCTGGTGACGGGTGAAGGGACCAAGCTAAATGACATGACAGAAGTGAAGGATTACTGTGTGTCGTACTTTACGGACCTGTTTGGAGGCATCTCTCAACCCCTAACTGATTCAGACCGTGCTGAGATTCGAGGTTTCACCACCTTCAGATGTAACACAGATGAGAAAAAAACCTTGCAAGCTCCTGTCTCCGCCGAGAATGTGAAAAAAGAGGTTTTCTCACTGCCTCGCAACAAAACGCCGGGACCTGATGGGTTCACTGGGGAATTCTATAGAAGCACTTGGGACATTATTGACGACGATCTTGTTAAAGCTGTGCAGGAGTTTTTCAATTCTGGCAAGTTGCTCAAACAATGGAATTGTACAGCCATCTCTCTCATTCCGAAAAAAGTTGGAGCAGAGAAACTTGTGGACTTCAGACCCATCTCCCTCTGTAATATGGTTTACAAGGTTATATCAAAGATTTTAGCGAGGAGGCTTCAAGCTATCACGCCGGGTATGGTTTCAAACTCCCAATCTGCCTTCGTCAAAGGTAGACTTTTGGTCGAGAACGTCTTACTGGCAACTGAAATGGTACATGGTTTTGGGAAGTCTAATGCATCTAAGCGAGGTTTGTTAAAAGTGGATCTAAGGAAAGCCTTCGATTCCGTCAACTGGGGTTTCATCATTGAGATTCTAAGAGCGGCTGATTTCCCTCCGGTTTTTATTTTGTGGATTGAGGAATGCATTTCTACGACTACGTTCTCCATCAATGTTAACGGGGAGCTTTGCGGGTTCTTCAAGGGGACCAGAGGATTGAGACAGGGGGACCTTTTATCCCCTTCTCTGTTCGTTATCGCAATGGAGGCTTATTCAAATCTGTTAAATGCTTCTTTTGAGTCTGGAAGGATTGGTTATCACCCGCTAGGCAGGAACCCAAAAATATCCCACCTGGCTTTTGCTGACGATATCATAATTCTTTTCGATGGGACTGCTAATTCTCTTCAAGGAATATCTTCTTCCTTAGACCACTTCCAACGTCTTTCTGGATTAAGCATTAACAAGGACAAAACAGACCTGTTGACTGCGGGTTTGAACCCTGATGAAGCTGAATCTCTAAACATGTTTGGCTTCAGAAGTGGTTCTCTCCCCATCCGCTATCTTGGTCTACCTCTGCTTCATCGTAAATTAAGGAAAGCTGACTACTCCCCTTTGACTGATAAAATTGCTGCTAAATTTAATGGCTGGACGGTAAGAGCTCTCTCCTTTGCTGGCCGGTTGCAGTTGATTACTTCAGTGATATACAGCCTTGTAAATTTCTGGTGCTCTGCATTTTCTCTTCCAAAAGGGTGTCTGAAGGACATAGAGAAGCTCTGTAGTCGATTCTTGTGGTCTGGTTCGATTGAGGAGAAAGTAATGGCCAAAGTCGCTTGGAAGCATATCTGTCTTCCTAAGAAGGAAGGGGGTCTTGGCCTTCGGGATTTCTCGGTTTGGAATCAAGTGCTGAATTTGAGACTGATCTGGATACTCTTCACGAAAACAGATTCGTTATGGGTGGCTTGGCTGAGGGAGCATAAACTTAAACGCTCATGTTTTTGGTCTTATGAATCCAGACCGAATGACTCATGGATTTGGAAATTTCTACTGTCTTTGCGGCCCTTGGCATTTAATTTCCTCAGATGCAAATTGGGGAATGGAAGATCGGTGAGTTTCTGGTTTGATAACTGGTCAGACTTTGGTCCTCTATTTCAGTTTGTGGGCACCCAAGGACCACGGTGGATGGGAATTCCGGTTGAAAGTTCTGTAAAAGATGCTCTTGCTATGCGTGACTGGAGCATGCATTCCAGATCAAGGAAACAGCCAGTTTTGCAGGTCAGGGAGCTCCTTAGACTTTCTACGGTGACCAGCTCTAACAATCGGGATATTTTTCTGTGGGGTCCCTCAGCCGATGCCTCCCCTCAGTTCTCCACAAAGAAAACGTGGGACTGGATCAGGCAATCTGCTTCTATTAAACCATGGTTCAAAACTGTCTGGCTGAAATTGGGTATTCCGAAGCACTCCTTCACTTTTTGGGTGGCAACCTTGATCGCTTGCCTGTCAAGGAAAGACTCGCTAGATGGGGGCTGAACTTAGATTCGGCGTGTACCTTCTGCTCTCTCCATCCTGAATCTCGGGACCATCTGTTCACTCAGTGTGAACTCTCACGGCAACTCTGGCACCAGCTCCTTACTCGCTTGGGGCTTCCGCAGGACACTTTTGACTCCTGGTCTTCGATGATGGCTTGGCTTCAAAGCTCTTCTAGAGACAGCCAATACACCCTGCTCAAGCGCCTCTCAGCTCAGGCCGCTATTTTCTATCTTTGGAAGGAGAGGAATAGTAGGAACCACAACAACATCTCCCTCCCTCCAAATCAAATCTTTCTCCAAGTTGACAGAACCATCAGAGACACCCTGGTAGCCCGGCGTTTTCGTAAAGGCTGCAGCGGTCTTCTCTCCCTTTGGTTCAAATATAGCTAGATTAGCTTTCTAACTCATATGTAACTTTTGCTTCTCCCTGCTTTTTTATCTTTTTTGAGCGGAAGAAGCAGTTAGGCTAATTAGCTCTTGTATTTGACTTTTCGTTCTCGGTAATATATTTAAATTTTATCAAAAAAAAGAAAAGAAAAGAAAATCAATCAAGAGCCAAGAACGGATTTGGGTCGTAAGCTCATCTACCAAAACTTGGTTTGGCTTAATGTGTGTGTGCAGGTTGAGTCTCTCATCTCCGCAATATATGATAATATATTACCCTTTTGTCAAAAAAATATATGATATATAATATACACAAAACAGAAAGGGATTTCGATCCAAATTTTAAATGTTAACTTTTGATACACAGTCAATTTTTAAGTTTTCGAGTTTTTTTTATACCTACTTTCGATTTTTTTTTTTCATTCAAATTAACTTATATTTTGATATGTAAATACGCTTATATTATAATACTCACCATGAAGAATCCATCACACTTATAAGTTATAGCCCGATAATTATACCAAAACAATTGACCAGAAAATTTGACTGGAAAGTTGGTTGGTTGGAGCTGCTTGTCAAAAACAAGTTTTAATATGCATGATGTTATACCTTTTGAAAATAATGTTCACCTAAGAAAATGATGTACACTGTATTCTAATGTATTGAATATCCCCAAGAAACCCCACCATGGCAACAGGTTGCTTTTGCTTTCACTCAATCACTTTTTTAATTTCTTTCATTTTTAGCGTTCATAATTTTTTAATAATGATGATGCATGGGCAGCATGGCTTTCGGAATCATATCAGTTTGATGACTTTATAGTTGATTCCCATCTAGTTCAAACTACACGGAAACAACGTAAATTTTAATCCTCACTAAAAAATACCAGGCCCCTGGTTTATTGTTTTCTATTTATGACAACGTCTTATTTGAGGCTTACATCATACGTTAGACTTTCACGATATATATATATATATATAGTAGCGTGTGATTATGTGTCAATTGATAAATGTTAGAATTATGTACAGTATGAAGATGCCATATATGGTGAAAATGGTCATATGTAAAGCATATCCTTGGAGATATATCCTTTGCCAAACCCAACGTTTTTTCTTTTTTGTGATTGTTCATAGTTTTTTTTCCCTAGTTTTTTTTTTGTTTGTTTTGGCAATAATAAACTCTTAGACTTGTTGTAAATTAGTTACAACCCTTAGATTTTAATGTAATTCAAATTCATACATAAATAACCAGAGGACGATTGTTCGACTAGAAAGATACCTTGAGATAATCTAAGAGATACAAGAAAAAATGATAGCTGAGATGAATAATAATATTAAAGGTTGGCCTGGACTTAGAAAAATATACGGGTTTCGGCCTAGAACCTCCTAATTATTAAAAGAAAATATTCATATATAAATAGATAATAATACATACTAACTAAAAATACAACATCAAACTTATTCGATTTTGTCAGTAGACTATCGTCACATTGTGAACTGAACAACACATAATAACATGGTTAGTCTAAATTTGACACCCATTGTTTGAGTTCAATCTTTGAGATACCTTTATTTTTTATTTTTCTTCAGTTAATTTTTATGGTTGCACCCCTTAAAAATTAATCCTAGGTCCGACACTTAGACATTTAAGGTTTGTTTACCCTTACTAGCTTGAGTCATGCAAAACATATCTCAACATTCAATTTCAAGCTGACAGTATTGTAGGAAATACTTTATGTTTGAGTTAAAAATACATGCAAAACATATGTTTTACAGACCTGATTTTGCATGCAAAAGCGACCCTGCTGTCAATTTCATTTTTTAAAACAATGCTTTGAAAAATTTGGATGAAAACTTAAATTAAGAAAAATAGCCAAGTAGTTGAATTTAATTGATTGATTAACATTTTTAATAGAATTATATCAAAAATATTTGATGACAATCTAAGAGACGATAACATATTTTTTTTTTAAAATTAACCAAGTAAGAAAACTCATATATTGGTGACCCAGCCTGTTGCGCATGCGTTCTATTCAAGTCTTGTGATCGTCATTTGATTCCACAATATCAAAATATAATAAAATTATTAAGCAAGCAAAGCAAGGAAAAAATTTAAGAAACTTTAAATTTGACGATACTTTTCTTTGTTAAGGAAATAGATTTTAAAATGAGAAAACACATGAAACTTGATAATTAAGGCGATCACTATTTTCATTTTTACGTTTTTTTACATCTTTTTCATTTTTACGTTTTTATGCTAGTTTTTTTGTATCATTCAGAGTATTTATCAATTTTTCATCAGTTTTCGTTAAAATGATGAAAAAAAACGGTTATGAAATATGAATCTCATTTTAGTGGAGTGGGGTGGGGTGCAGGTGGGGGTAAGATGAAAAGCTACACATTTTTTTTTTTAAAATAATTTTCGTTTTGGTTATCTGGAAGTAAATCTTATACTTTTTGAACCCAGATTAATCCCCTTATCATATCATCTTTTTGATGTAAGCCAGTAGCAGCTCACATGATTAGGTGGTCAAGAGCTAATGTGATAATTCCATTTTCCAAGAGATTTAATTTTTGGCTTAGATCCATAGAGCCGAATCTTTCACTAAAAAAGAACTATTCCATTACAATCTTTTAATTTTTTTTTGTATTATTAAAAAATTTTGGATCAAAGCCCATAATCTCTCTAAACTCAAAATCACCGTATATAATATTTATTCTGTACCAAGCGTCATTTGATTTTGTGACTTTTAAGCTTTGCCTAAAGCTTTCTTTACCAATCGAGGAACGACACTTGGGAAAACTACACAGTTTACAGTTAATAATATAAAATTTTATATAACTATGAATATATATTTTGACAACCATTAAATATATTATATATGCCCTTAGTAAAAAAACACTTTTGGATCTTCTCCTCGATAACGATATATATTGATATGCGTATATATACTAGCGTGTGCATAACGTTACAGATATGTATATTAACCGATTTAAAATTTCAAACTTTCAAGTTTAAAAATCCTTTTTCTTTAGTTGACTGACTTTTTCGTTTTATATTTTTTTGGTCAAGAGCACGTAATAGTGATCAAACACATGATTTTCGGAATCAAAACACTTCGCTTATACACAACGTGGTCATTCAATTGTATTGTGCAGAATTATAAAATAATCCGAACCAGAGGCAATACATTAATATGCTAATCAGTGACGGAAGTGGAAACGATCTGCGCTGTGTTATTATTGAAAAAATGGATCACTGAATAAATTATTTTCTTCTGTCACGATCACTTAATAATAATGATGATGCATGATTTTCGGAATCAAATCAGTTTATTGACATTATAATTGATTCCCATCTGTTGACCAAAAAAAAAAATTTTGATTCTTAAGACGGCACGAAAACGTAAAGCTGGGCATAATCGCCCGAAGCGGAATCAAATCATAGTTAGACATTTTTGATGTACACGATATATATATATATATATATATATGTGTGCATTGTGTGATAACTGTTAAAATTGTTATAGCTAGAATTAATCGTCAAAGTTTGTGAATAGAAATTATTGAAAATTATTGATTTCTCTTTAATAACTGGATTTTAATGGAATTTTGAACAATTCACAGAAAACATATTGTTCGGAGCTAACAAAATGGATCAAAAAGAAATTTGGACAAAAAATATAAAGTAAAGTGAGCTGTTTATTCCATCTTCGAGAGTGTTTTACAAAAACAAAAACAAAACAAAATGATAAGTGTTGAGTATATATATCGCAGTAATTTTGTATTATTAGTTTTTTTTTAATTCTATCATTATATATATATTTTTTTCATTCATCTATGGTTTAATATCTAATTTGAATACTGAGAACTAAGAGAATTACAAATAATACAATGATAAATGGTAATAATGAAGACACTGGGAGAAATCAATCCGGAAGATTAAGAGGTAGAATATAATTGCTATTAATTTTTTAATTTTTGCTTTAATTAAAAAATTAATAGTGCCATACTGCCATATGGCGTTCAACTGTAGAGTTGGTATATTTTATATAATACAGACACTAAACTAAATTCAACTTGTTATTTTGTGATGGTACGCTAAGCAGGGCAGATCTAGGAATTAATTTATGGCGAAAACTTATAGTACAAGAAAAAGTATTTGATATTATAGTGACGCAATAGACGTTGATAAAAGAGGTCAATAAAGGTCGACGATCAAAAAAGAAATAGCGATGGTATTGTAAATAACGTGGTTCACGGGTCTATCATTTGTCATCAGCTCTTTAATACATACTACGTACGGGTCATTATATACAAAATGCAGATAAAATAAACGTATAATATACTATTGCGTGTTTCAATTGCTAAGTTTATGATATTTCAACTTAAAATAAATTTGCAATAAATGGATGATCACATATCACTTAAAGTTATTCTTTGAACCATTCATCACAATAAAATTTATCTATATAATCAATATCGGATCAAACAAGCAAGACCAATTTCGGATTTGTCAAAAGTTTGCTGAAGATGATTTATTTCATTAGCCAAGAAGGCGTATATAGACGAAAAGAATATTTATACAAAAATATTCTTTTCGGATTTATTATATATTGTTCATACATATATATATATAATCTATTACAAAATTTAGACAAAAAGAATATTTATACAAAAATAAAATTAGAACTGTTAAACTGAAATTGTCACGTCGTCATAGTCGAATATGTGTATGAAGCGGAGTAACTGTTAAACTAAAATTAGAACTGTTAAACTGAGCATGCGAAAGGGTTTTAAATACAGTTTTTCAGGTCAGCCTTGACAAACTATGAGTTTAATAGGCTGGGTCGTATATGGGTAGTGTGGAAGGAATCTGTTCGTCTCACACCTGTTTTTAAGAGTGGGCAACTTATCATATGATGAAGGAGATCAAAAATAAAATTTGTAATATCTATAATCTATTACAAAAGTTTAACAGTTTCATATCAATCTATGGCTGATGCAACAAATACTGTTAAACTGAAATTCTACGTTTTAATACACATATTCGACTATAACGACGTGACAATGAAAATACACAACTACAATTTTGATGTATTTTCCGAATCGATGACCATAAAGTGAGGTATATCACCCAATGGTCAGGTGTAAGGCTGATACTTTGATTTTGAGTTCAATCTTATACGCTTCTCACGTATGAGTTTGTGGGAGAATGTTAAGATATATATCTCAGAGATTACAAGATTCAGTTGAAAGGAAAATCAATATTTTTTATATTTTTTATCCATAAACTAGATTAAGCTCAATGAATTTCTAAATTAATAGTCTACATATTTATAACCTATATAACTAGATTTTCTAATTTACAATTAAAAAAATTAAAATTGATCCATATTAACATAAATAATTTATATTTTTTACTTACTTTACTTTTCCTAGTAATTTCTATTTAAATAAAATACATATTTTTTATTTAAAATAAATAATTAAAATAGAAAGTTTTTATTAGTATATTGATACATGTCGTAATCTTAATTAACAACGACACATATCATAATCTTGTAAGTTATATGTCACGTGTTTGAACTGTTTATATAATAAGATAGATAAATTGTTTAACATCAAATATGTAAAAAACTTGCTAGTCAAGTTATACCTTTATATGTACTGGCTAATCAATAAAATTGAAAGATACTGTTTAAACTTCTACATAAATAAAATTATGATTTGGGTTGAACTAATATATATTCAAAATTTGATATCATATTAAGTTTGTTGTAATTCTAATTCATAATCAATTGAAAAATTCTAATATATTACATGTATATATTATATGTTAATCATTTCGTCTATGTCCTATCTCAGTTTCGATGTAGGAATTTTAGCAAATTTTTAATTTAGAGTCAACTATATATATATATATATATATATATATATATATATATTTCGGCAATTGTACATTAACGTGATTGAATGATGGGTATATATATTATTAGTTTGGCGGGATTTGAAGAAGCTCAACCCAATCTTCTTGTAAAATTATGTTTCCGCAAATATCAAAAAAGAAGAAATGATATAAAACTTCATTTTATATTCCACTAATGAACCGTAGACTCAAGTATAAATAAGAGGCACTACTATAAGAATTATACAACTCGAAATCCTAATCTTTAAACAATAAGAAAGAAAGGATGTTACAGTATTATGGGTCATTATTGTCTGTTATAATCTCATTCGTAGTAGTGAAACTTTGCCACTGGATTTACCAGTGGTGGAATCCAAAATGTAAAGGCAAACTTCCTCCAGGGTCCATGGGGTTTCCCATCATTGGAGAAACTTTCGAATTTATGACGCCTTCCGATTTCAGTCTAGTGGTTTCTCCGTACCTGGAAAAGAGAATATCCAGGTTACTTATCCTCTGAGCTTGCTTTTTTTTTTTTTTTTTTCCAATTATACATGCATACTAGATGAACATTTGCCTGAATAAGAATAAAGATACTCTTTCATCTATGATTTCTATATTATGCATGCATCCTTATAGTATATATATATATATAATTGCAATGTGTATTAAACTCATAATTTTCGTATGAACGTGACATAAAGCTACAAGACAAATAGTCTTAGAATATGTATTTTTCTTTTCATCGCTTATCTCTTTTCATTATTAAACTATGGTATGAATTGTTTTGTTAAATTTTGAAAGACGTTTGGTACGAGTCTATTCATGTTCTTTGAAAAAATGTTTGAATCAGATATGGTTCGAAAGTGTTTCGAACAAGTCTATTTGGGGCCAAAGTTATAATATCCACTGATCCCGACGTGAATATGGAGATGGCAAAGGCGAGTTCTCAATTGGGTGCCACAGACAGCTTAAGACGGATATTTGGAGAAAACAATGTGTTCCTCCAGAGTAAAGAGATTCATAAATATGTTCGAAACCTGACTTCTCGATTCGTTGGTCCCGAGAGCTTAAAAACCAGATTGATCCAGGACATTGACTTTTTGTCTCAAAACCATGTCGAGGAGGGAGCACTAAGCGGCTCTTTCGATATTAGAGAAGCAGCAATTAAGGTATTATAAGACATAAAATTTGAACCACCATTTTTGTTGGACCAGGGTAATTCTAACTAATTTTGTTTTCGTATATTATTAATTTCAAGATGGTTGGTGAACTTATTGCAAAGAAAGTAATGGGTGAAATGGAATCTGAGGCCGTAAAAGAACTCGGACTATGTTGGAGTGCTTTCCGAACCAGTTGGTTTCAGTTTTCTTACAATATTCCCGGGACAACTGTTTATCGATTCGTGAAAGTGAGAATTCATCTACTCTCTTCTAAAATCGCATGTTATATGATTGCAATAACTCATCTAACATATTAAACACATATGATTTTTGATAGGCACGGAGGAAGGCTGCAAGACTTCTAAAAGCCGTGATTGAGAAGAAGAAGGCCTCAAAAGAAGGACTCGGCGATTTCTTGGATATTATATTTGACGAGATGGAGAAAGATGGAGCGGCTTTGGACGTAGACAGAGCGGTCAATTTGATATTCACTTTCTTCATACTCTCCCAAGAGACAACTCCCGGAGTTTTAGCAGCGATTGTGAAGCTTGTAGCAGACAACCCCAATGTTATGGAAGAACTACAGGTATTTGTTTCTTATTGATATTTCTTGTTTACTTAATTTTGCGGACATACAAACGTAATATTAACCATGGAAAGGCATTGCAGAGAGAGCACGAGACCATTGTTCAAAACCGGGTTGATAAGGAGGCTGGACTAACATGGGAAGAATACAAATCCATGACATTCACTCACATGGTGAGGTTTCGAGTTGATTAAAAATATTTCAGAATACACGTTAAATACAAAACACAAGTTAAATTTCATCATGTTTTCAGGTTATAAAAGAGTCGCTTCGATTTACTAGTACACAACCTACAGTGCATAGAATACCAGCTCAAGACGTTCTAATTGGAGGTTAGCTAATCTTTCCATCATTGCATGCATGCATACGAGGTTGCAGCTATTATTGTAAGAGATGTTCTGACAGGGAAATTTGACCCAACCCGTATTGAGTTTTATCCTGATTTGCCCAACCTTAGTTAGGTCCTATTCTTAGAATTTAAATCAGACCCGAGAGTCACCGGCCCCCTAGGCCGCTAGTAATCACCAAAAGCTAAGGAAATGCTGGATTTGGCAGGCTGACCCGGCCTGCCACAAGTTTAGCCTTATATGGTGGGGCTAGTTCTAACCTCCATTTTTCCAGTTTAGATCTGTTCTGTTCCTTATACATTTGGTTCACCATAGAACCCTCACAAGTCACACCAATACACGCAAATAGGGGCGAAGCTCATGTACAAAGAGGGGGTGCATGTGCACCCATAAGACTTTTAAAATTAGTGTATTTTCTTAGCTAATTTTTATATGTGCACCCATGTTATATTAGTGGATCCGGTAAAATAATATTCTCGATCCGTTCCTGCTCGCAAACATATAGAGTTGGCTCATGAGCGACTCACTTTGGACAGGTTATACATTACCTGCTGGGTGGCTGTTTTTTGGAATTCCTCAAGTTCATTTCGATGAAGAAAAGTACGGGGATCCGCTCACCTTTAATCCATGGAGGTGGAAGGTGATTTCTCCTGTTCCTTATGCGTGTTGTAACACACAAAACTTTAAAACTAAGATTAAAGTATAACCATTTCTTTGTATGGATAATATCTTCAGGGAAAAGATATCCACAGCACGGTATCTAGGGACTACATGCCGTTTGGTGCTGGTGGGACACTTTGCGTAGGGTCTGAGTTTGCCAAGCTCATAATCGCAACTTTTCTCCATCATTTGTCCAGATTCAGGTTAATTAATTTAAATGCAAAGGGTTCACTAGACTAGGTGAGGATATGAATTGTTTTGAGAGTTTACTAGAGTTAATTTTCTGTTTTTTTTTTTTTTTTTTTCTGTCAGGTGGTCGTTGGACCCAAAAACAAGAGTGCTTCGGAGGTATATGCTTATGTTCCCGGCTGGCTGCAAGGTCCACATCTCCAAGGATACAAGTAGTCATCAATAAATTTGGGTCTCGCCTTATGTTTCCTGTTTAATAATTGATGCTTCTTGTACTAATAACCTGGCATTGCCTGTACTTCGTTTTTATTTTGATAGCCTGTATGCTATTTTTAAAAATGTTTAGTAATATACTATGTTGTAAAATTTAAACGTTAAATAAAATTGTTTGATCTTATAGTTGCATGCGCTAAATCCATCCACTCGAGAAGCTCAAATTATTGAGCTTATCGCAAAACACACCTCCCAACATAATAATATCAAGTGTTCCAAAAAAAAAAACATAATACTATTAACCTTCAAACATCTAAAATCCTCTGATTTAAACTAATTTCACATCTGTAACTAAACATATGAAACAGAGAATATTCCCTAAACGTGTTTATAATTACTGATTACCCAGGATCTAAAACCTGGCCACATTAAACTTTAAACCGATTTGCAAATCAAAATTGATTAAACTTGTGTATTTTCTAAAGTAGAAGACGTCTCCTTTTTTATAGGACTTTGTTTATGCTTTTTGCTGTCTTTAATGTCTATGTATTTTCTAAAAAAAAAAAAAAATCAACACATCCTATCTAGAGAACGTTAGAAAATATAATCTCCTTTATATAAAAGGGATTGATTTCCTGGCTTTCTAAGTTATCCACGTCAGCAAATTTAATCAAAAAAATATTCAGCCAATAAAAACGTCTAAATTTGCCACCTCATTAAAACATAGTCCAGCCCAACTTAATATTTTAATAAGATAACGAGTCCATAGAGTTGTTTTCCACCCAAACAAGCACACCAATAGAGAAAGTCAAAAAGATAGAAGCCCAATACAAACCCAGAAAACGTAGCGAATAGCCCAAAAAAAAAGTTCTCACCATCCTTTTACCACATTCACCACCGTAGTGTAAGGTTTTAGAAAATCCTAGAAACCTGAATCGATTCTTCTTCCTCGCAGTTCCGGCGTTTCAAATCCCAACCACCACTCTGCTCTCTGTGTATATAGACTCACTCTTACGAAGTCTAAACTGACGCCCTCTCTCCATGATCAAAGACTTTCGGGTTACCTCGATCTCATAGTACGTCTTATTCCTATCTCATAAGTCATAATGCTTCTCCAATTCATAATTTCATAATTTTGTTAGATAAAACTCGCGCTTCATTTTCTGGAGTTCAAGCCCAAGATCTGTGGATTGAAAGTTTCAGAAGTGGATCATTTCGCGCTAATTTTTTGTTAAATTTTTTTGTTGATCGAGGTTGGAACGTGGCTACACCATTCTTTTAGACGCTCCGGCAGAAGAAGTATACACCCCACCGAATTTCAAGGTTTGCGATGACATTTTCCTACTCCTTAAAGTTCTATTTATGATAAGTTGCTTTAGCCTCAGGAGATCTATCGATTCTTTAATGGCAAATTACATAATATGTTTTTGTTTATGAACACTCACCTCACCAGCTTGAGGAAGTATTTGATGGAGGAAGTATTTGATGCCTAAGACGGAAGCTCACCGGTTCGATCATCTTCTTTCCTTTGGTTGGATCAAAGGTTTGTCTGTCATCTAATAGCCAAAAGTAATGGCTCATATTGTGTATTACTTTTACTGCGATTTGATATAGTTGATGATCCGTATAACTGTCTGTCTGTCCATATTGTAGAACTGATGCAAAGATGAATGTTTTACGTTGAGTTTTTTGTTGTAGAATGAGAAGATAATGATGCATGTTATTTCATTTAGATCATCCTCTATATTAGTTTGATGTTCATTCCTTACCTCACATATATGCTCAGATTGCAGTTTGATTTCTAGCAAAGAAATGTGTATCACACATCAGATTACTTTAAGGTAGAACAAAACATATAGCGCTATCTCTGCAAGTTAATCAATGGACCAGACCATATTTGATATCAAGCTTAGTGAACCCCATGATCTTCTAGGTTTTACATTGTCAAACCAAATTTGTAAGGATATGGCTTTATCAATCTGCCTTATTGCAACTCCTAGATAGAATCCGAAACATGCTCATTGACCACTCTCTTTAATTAGTTGTATATTATATATTACCTCGAGTTTAGAGGTGTCTCCGTAAGTCCTAGGTCATGATTAAGTTAGCTACATAGATAATTGCATACATATTCTACAACATGTATACATGGTATGTGACTGTTGCCCATACAAAGAATAATATTTTGTGAATTATCTAGGTTCTGCTTAGTGCTTTTCCAGTTATGCTGAGAAGTCGTAGAATTCAGATTATTTTTATATCCAAGTAAATAAGAGCTATTCTTAAGTTCTAAATTGTTGACGTTTTTTTTTCTCTGACTTCTGCCCATCTTTGTCAATTACGCATTGAATATTTAACCCCTTTGTTACATTTTTGGATAATGAACTACTGACACTTTTTTTTTTTTGCAGGCATTTTGCTCCATGTCTGCTTACTCCTGCACTTTCTACCATTGGTAATATAGTTACTGGAAATACTCAGCAGACCCAAGTATGTAATTCATATTCCATTTATGTCAATCGTCTTCAATACTTCTTCGAATGATCTATCATATTTTTTTCAAAACGATAGGACTATCATAAACTTATTTTTGTTATATGGCCTCTTGGATTATAATTCCACTACACCGATATTAGATAGGATGCAGTGCCTTCAACGTTTTATATATGGCAAACGTCATATACTTTACTACATTTACCCTTGGGTTCTGAATAAACCTCTTTGATCTTATTCTTCAGAGTGTGATCAATTATGGTGCTTTACCCATTGCTGCCAACCTGCTCACTCAAAACTATAGAAAAAATTAAAACCATAGAGAGGGAAGCTTGCTGGGTGCTTTCAAATATCAGTGCAGGCACTGAAATACAAATTCAGGTGCCCACTTTTTGTTGCTTATTACATGCATGAGTTTTTGTTTATTTATGATGCACACCATAAACAAACTTACCCTTCTGTATATGACCATCCGCCTGTTGGTATAACTAATTGTTTTCAATCTGTCTTTCTATCCCCTAATGATAACAGCCACTTATTGATGCAAACTTGATTCCAGTATTGGTCCACCTGACTCAAAACTCAAAATTTGACATAAAGAAAAAAGCTTTATGGGAATATCGAATTCCATCTCAGGTGGTTCTCATGATCAAATCAAGTACGTCCCTTTCCTCTTCTCTCTTTCTGGCTTAATGATCAATTCAATTCACTATCTCCTCTTAGTGTGATTCAGATACTTGGTGGAGCAGAGTTGCATAAAACCTTTATGTGATTGGATGGATTGGACAAAATTTTGAAGGGTGGAGAGTCAGAGAAGAATCAGAAGATCACAGGACACTTGAACTATTCCCAATTTGCTGAAGATGCGGAAGGGCTAGAAAAGATTGAGAAACTACAGAGCATCGACAACAATGAGATCTACGAGAAGGCTATGAAGATATTGGAGACATACTGGGTTGAAGAGGTAGATGAGAAGACACAACACCAACCTCCACGTGATCATGATGGTTCTCATCTGGACTTTCACTTCGGAGGGAACCAACTTCCAGTTCCTCCTGTAGGATTCAACTTATGTTAAAACAAACATTTCAAACTATTAAGAGTCTTCTTCTATAGGATGAGATCTCTCACACAGTCTGATATTAATGGTTAGAAAAGAAATCTGACATTATGTCAATATCAGCAAATTGTGAATTTATCAACCCTCTCCCATACAAAATCGTGTGCTCTTTTTCTGTTGGAAAAATATATCGTTTGGTTCACTGTTTGTTCTTACAATTTCTTAATCATCGAGCTTCGACTGTAAGAACAAGAACAAGCTCTTCCTAACTGAACCTATTAATGAAAATTTCAAATTTAAAAGTAAAGTTGGTAGACAATGACAATTCTGTGAATTAGCCCGTTTATATAAGCTGATTAGTTTGTGTTTTATGGTCTAACTCATCATGTCTGCAAATTGAACTAAAAAAAACTAATGACTTGATTAAATTAGTAAAATTGGAAAAAATACTCCTTCTGTTCCTATATATAGGGTGTTTTAGCGTTTTTTATTTGTTTCATAATATAAGGTGTTTTCATATTCCAATGCAAATTTGAAATGTCTTTAATGGTTTTGACTATTTATTTTTACTGCAGTTTCTTTGGTGATTGGTTATATTTTTTATAACTAACTATTACAAAAATTACACAACTACAGAAATATCATATAGAGCTAAGTTTCTTTGTTCTTAACAAATCTTGGAAAACATTGCGATATATAGTGTTAAGATGAAATATATGGTAATGTTTTTTACAGACCATGACGCCAAGCCAATTGTTTTATAATATTGTAGGAAATTGATGAGGATGAGTATAAAAATTATAAACAGAATATTGACCATCTTATTTATTATTTTCAACCTGTGGACATAAGATCTAGCTAGGGAAGGCAATCAAGATCGAACAAAAATAGATAACAGAAATAAGTTACTTAAGTATGAGTTTAGCAATTTTTTCTAAATAATGGTCTTTGTCACCTTTGCAAACCCGACTTTGTTTCCATTACATCAAACAAATACATTTTTAAATTTAAACTTTATATAATGATATCAATTTTGAAAATATGAACACATTCTCTAAATACAAAATCAATATATAAAAGAACCTGGGCGTAGCTCGGGGAAAACCCCTAGTATCTTATATATAAAAGTTGTTCAACTTTCTCCATATAAGTGACACATCAGCATTTGAGAATTGATATAGGAATGACATGTGTCATTTTTTAATTTAAAATTATAGTTTTTAAAGAAAATTAATTAATAAATTTTAATATGAAGTGTTAAACCACTCAAAGAAAATGAAAAGTTTTTTTATTAATTGATTCTAAAATAACATTTATGTAAATATTAAACAAAAATTTATGTTATAATTAATTAAAAATTAATATTTTTAATAACTTTTTGTTTTTAATAATATTATATTTTAAATTAATTGATTTATAAGAATATACTAACAAATAACAAATGATGATCATACTTAAAAAAATACAAAATATATAAATTTGAAATAGTTGAAGAAAAAACCTATTTAAAATTACAGTTTTAAAAAGGAAAATTAATTAATAAATTTTAATATTAAATTTTAAACTACTCAAAAATAAGAAAAATCTATTAATTAATTTTTAAATAACATTTATGTAAATATTAAACACGAATTTATGTTATAAAATCTTGATTTTTAGTGATATTACATTTTAAATTGATTGATTTATAATAATATACTAACACATAATAAATAATGATAAAATACAAAATATATGAGTTTGAAATAGTTGATGAAAAAAATCTGCATGTTAAGTGCGGGTATTAACCTAGTAGTTATAAAAGTCAATAAATGTAGGTATGTTTTCAAAGTCACACATTATGGCGATGAAAAGAAAACGTGGGTAAAACTTGTGGAACCATCTAAATAGTTAGCGTAAACACATTTCAATATATGAACTATCTTCATTTCTCTTACCTCTCCCTTTATCAGCATCCTTGTTCTTTTGCATATATTTAAAATTTTAATTTATATTAATTTTAATAATAAATTATATCTATTATTATAACAAATATTACAAGAAAGAAAAGTTAAAAATGCACACTTTATCTCAACGCTTTCCAAAATGATAAATCAACAATTAATAGGAAAGCATATTTACGTTATAATATCATGATCATGAGAAATAAGATTATACGTTATAAGAGATAGTTTCAACTTTCGTCCTCTCCATCGTTTATTAATAAATAAATAAAAAGATATATAAATAAAATACGACATCCAAGGCAGATGAAAGTCTTCTACAGTTCTAGTTTTCTCTTCTTTTTTTTTTTTTGTTCACTTTCAGGTATCAAAGGAAAATAATGGAGCTGAAGCTAGAGGCTGTGAGGAGAGAAATAATCAAACCTGCTTCACCCGCACCTCAAGATCGCCTTCCACTCTCCCTTTTCGACCTCTCCTGTCCAGCAGTGTACGTTTCAACAATCTTCTTCTACAAAGCCCTCGCTGGAGAGTCGTCGGTGATCATTTCCAAAAGGCTGAAGAGCTCTCTGTCAGAGACTCTGTCAAGTTTCTATCCTCTCGCGGGACGAATCGATGGCATCTCGATCAACTGCAACGACGAAGGAGCTGTGTTCATAGAAGCACGCACGGATCTCCCCCTCTCCAATTTCCTCAAGAACAACCTCGATAATACCGACTCTCTTGGAGTATTCCTCCCACCAATCACATCAGGCGAATCCGCAGGAACGTGGCCGTTGTTGAATGTTATGGTCACTTTCTTCGGGTCAGGGTCAGGAGCTGCGGTCACCGTAGCCACATCTCACCAAATATGCGACGCTGCGTCATTATTAACCTTTGTTAGGGGCTGGGCAGATAGAGCGAAAGGTGATTCTTATGACGTCGCACTAACAACTCCTCAGTTTGCGGGAGCTACCATTTACCCTCCTCCCCATAGCTCTTTCAAGGCTCCTTCAATGGATGAGCTTTTCGAGCTAAGAGGAAAGTGTGTAACCAATAGATTCGTCTTCAAATCCGCTAAGATCGCTGAGCTCAAACGCAAGGCCGCCAGCGAAAGTGTCCCGGTACCTACACGTGTGGAAGCCATTGCATCACTTATTTGGAGATGTGCAAGAAATGCCTCACGCTCTAACTCAGCCACTCCAAAGTCAACGATGATGACTCAAGCCATGGACTTGCGGCTTAGGATTCCCTCTAATGTTTTGTCCCGCAATGCCATCGGTAACCTACAATCGGCTTTCTTTCTTAAGGAAGGCTCAGAGAGCGAGATGAAGATTGGTGAAATCGTTGCCAAGTTTAGAAAGGCCAAAGAAGGGGTCAATGAGATGATCGAAGAGAATCTCCAAGGCTACAATACTGCTAGTACCATCACCACTACCACACTTGGTCAGAACTTGTTGAGTGTGATGGGAAATTTTATGGCAGAATTAAAACCGGAAATAGACTTATACACAATGTCTAGCTGGTGCAAAAAGCCTTTCTACAAGGTTGACTTTGGATGGGGTACTCCAGTATGGATAGGATCCGCTTCGCATACCATCGCTGACAACATAGTGTATGTGGTGTTAATGGATTCAAAGGATGGTGAAGATGTCGAAGCTTGGGTAGGCTTACCAAAACAAGACATGCTCGTGTTTGATCGTGACCAAGACTTGCTTACTTATGCCGTCTTAAACCCTCCAGTCCTGATATGAACAAGTGACCATGTCTCAATGTTTGGTCTAAGATTGCACTATGCTTTGTTTTAATCACTGTTTGGCCTTTGCGTTTCGCTGTGATTTGAATAAGAAAAACAATCATTTCAATTTTCATGTTATCTAATGTATTTCTGATCTTGATCTTGTTTGTACTCTATATTTTTGTTACAATTAATTTGTGTTTGTCAAGTTCTTCCATTCCAATTACCACCACTAACGCTTTAATGATTTACAGGTTTTTTGTAGTTATCCTTTAAAGTTGTATGTATTTTTTTTCTAAACATGTTTGCACTACCGGTTTTGGACACATGATTAGGAAACATTTGAATGGGGCTCCTATATTGGAGGAGATTCACTATAAATTAATTTGCTGAAGATATATATTCTTTATATAGTTTAAACAAACATGAAGTCATGAAGTTCTGTGATTGATATCGTAACAAACAAATATTAGTTGATTTTCTGAAGTTTTGTTTATGTTTCACAATAATTGATTTTCTACATTTAATTAATGTATGTTTATTCTTTAAATTAATAAATTATAGTTAATGCATGTTACTTTAATAAATATTAGTTGAGATTGATGAATTATGATTGGTTTCTAATAATAAAAAGTTGTTTAAATAAGAGAAAATAATATATTTAGAACTAAACATTAATGGTTTGTTAATCTGTCAAAAAACTGAAAATTAACTATTATAAAACGGAGAGAGTATCATATACTAGCTTCTAGTGAATTATCTTTAATATATTAAATGAAGAATATATGAGATTTATGCGGCATTTCCACATTTTCTTGAGCTATTTTTGCTTTTTTTTATTAACTTACATTTTTCTTCCATTAAATTCTGTTTTAGTTAGTTTCTAAACTTATAAATTCGTCAGCGTTTATCTTGTCTGAATCGACTCCTAAATATAATTATGGTATATTGGAGTGGTAATTGGAATGATTATTTCAATCTTTTAAACCTGAGTACGTCACTAGATTCTGCCACTTGCGGTTCACACCTCGATGCTTATATATTTTGCTAATAAAGGGAAGACGCAACCCCCATCATATTGTATTCAATTTGAGGCAAATGAAAAAGAAAAAAAAAACACATTGAATGCATGCATTTACGTACGATATGGGTGAATTTATTACAAGGAACCCGTATCTTTTATTCTTATCAGAGTCTAGGCACAACTCTATCTACTTGAAAAGTCAACTTATTATAAACTACTAGTTGATTTGGCCACGGCCACCACAGCCTCTCTCTTTTCTTTTTTTTTTCTTGTTAAAGGCGGCCACCACAGACCATTCCGTTGGTTTTAGTTGGTTTGATTTGTCATCCTCCTTGACTCCATTGTGAGGATGCGTTTTCATAAAGGGACTTCCTTTGTTCCAATAATGCGAAAACGTTTCCCTCTAGTACTCCCATAACTTCTTCTTCAATGTCCTCACTCATACATACAGTAGTTTCACCTAACATACGTGTAGGTGCATTGAAAATTAGAGTTGAAAGTGAGAGAAAGTTACCTTGATGATCCATAACCATAGGGATAGACAGTAAAACTAAATAAGTGTTGTTAAATAGACGGTGGAAGCAAAACAGTTGGCAGTTTAAATATATGTTTCTAAGAGATTTCAACTTATTTAATTAGTTTGATAGAATTTGAAGAATCTCTACCGAATACTGTTCTAAGATTATTGCTTCCTTACAATCATTACATAAAAGAGTGATATATGTAACTTAACTTTTATATTTCACGAGCTTTACCGTAGATTTAAGTATAAATAGAGAGACAGCTGTTAAAACAGGGGAAACCAGCTAGATAAAACAGGGGAAACCAGCTGTTAAAATATGTCAAGCTTGAACACAATTTAGCAAAAGTTTTGCTCCTATTAAAAATTAGATTAGGACCTGTATATATGTATGTGGGTATATAATTTAATAAATTTTGTAATCCATTAAAAAAAAATTGAAAAACAAAATAAAATAAATAATATACAAATTTAGAAATAAAGTTTCTGAATAGCGCGCTTATTATTATTTTTTTTGTTTATTAACTTTGCATTTTGGGATGAATTTATATTATATATATATATATATATTAGTAACCTTACCTTTTAAATTTATGAATCAGTTATTAACTTTCTAAATTTTTCAGTTTTCCTATTTTTTGATTATATAAATTGGGTATTAATCAATTTAAATTATGAATAGGTTATTTAACTATAAACTACTAGTTGATTTGGCAACAGCCACCACGGTCTCTTCGATTGTGTTTGCTACCATTCCTTTTGAAATGGTGTTTCTCGTCGACTCATTTGTGAAGATGCCTTTTTCATAAAGCGACTTCCTATGTACTTCAGTGTCCTCAGTCAAACATACAGTAGTTTCACATAACATATGTGTGGGTGCATTGAAATCCAAAGGTGGAAGTAAGAGAAGGTCAACTTGATGATCCATATATAACCATGGGATAGACCGTGAAAAAGATGAAGTAAATAAGTGTTTCTAAACAGACGGTGAAAGCAAAACAGTTAGGCAGTTTAAAAATCTGTTTCTAACAGTCTAACACGTCATACAATTATCATTGCTAGAAGTTTGTATCCATTATTTGCTTTGTATTTTCTTTTGGGCTAACCCATTATTTGATTTTATTATAACGTGAAAGCAAAACAATTGGCAATTTAAAATTCTAAATATGTGTTTCTAACAGATTTCAACTTGTTCAGTTAGATAGGATTGAAGAATCTCTACCGAATATTGGTATACGATTATTGTTTCCCTACGAACATCATTACATCAAAGAGTGATATCTAATGTCACTTTATTTTTATATTACACGAGTTATCCGTAGACTCAAGTATAAATAGAAAGCCACAGATATAGGAATCATACAACTTAAAATCCTGAACTTGAAAGAAGAAGAAAATATGTCAGAAGTGTATGGGTTAGTATTGTCTGTTATAGTCTCACTCATAGTATTGAAACTCTGCCACTGGATTTACAAGTGGAGAAACCCCAAGTGTAAAGGAAAACTTCCTCCGGGATCCATGGGGTTTCCGGTCATTGGAGAAACTTTCGAATTCATGAGGCCATTTGACTTCAGTCTAGTAATTTCGCCGTATCTAGAGAAGAGAATATCCAGGTTACTTAACTTCCTAATTTCTTTGAGTTCCTTTTAATGCAATTTTATATGAATTCTAAAGGATCATTTGCAAGAATGAATTTATCACGTTTATAAGAATAATGTACTTTTTCTTCTATACAATTTGTAAGTTGTGTGCAAGATTGTCAACTTTTTTTTGTTCTTCTTTAAAACTATTCATATGCCATCTATGTGTATATACTAAAAAAGAATTTAGATGTAAATCTGTTATAACAAATTAGTACATTTCATCATACAGATAATTACAATGATTATTTTTTTCATTTCAGATTTCAAAATAATTGTCATGACAGAAATCTACACGACCAAAGTTTTAGAAATATTATTTTTCTCTGTTCAGTTCTATTTCCATTGTAAAATGATATGGTGTGGTTTTTATTTAGTTATTTACTTTTACTGACTTTTATATTATAAAATTTTGAATCAGATATGGTTCGAAAGTGTTTCGAACAAGTCTATTCGGGGCCAAAGTTATAATCTCCACTGATCCTGACGTGAATATGGAGATGGCAAAGGCGAGTTCGCAGTTGGGTGCTACGGATAGCTTAAGGCGAATATTTGGAGAGAACAACGTGTTCTTTAAGAACAAGGACCTTCATAAATATGTCCGGAACTTGACTATTCGATTTGTTGGCCCCGAGAGCTTAAAAACCAGATTGATTCATGACATTGACACTTTGTTACGAAACCATATAGAAAACGGAGCACTAAGCGGTTCTTTTGACGTTAGGGAGGCAGCAATCAAGGTAAACGGATATTAAGTTGATCTCACAAACTTTGGTTATAATAACCGATTGATTAATCAACAACATCTAATATCTACTATATTAACATATGCTTTTCTAAGGATGGATGTTTTCCTAACATTCTGATTTGAAGGCTGTGGGTGAACTTATTGCAAAGAAAGTAATGGGTGAAACAGAGTCTGAGGCTGTAAAAGACCTGGGACTTTGTTGGAGTGCTTTCCGTGCTAATTGGTTTAACTTCTCATACAACATTCCTGGGACAACTGTTTATTGATTCGTGAAGGTGATCATTCATCTACTTGCTACTAAATATGAGTTTACTATGGACTTTCAACTCAAAATTAATTAATTGGTAATGAATATAACTCATATCCCATATCTTTTTTTTCTATATCCCATCTAATTGTGGAATATTTTATCCTCACAATATGATGTCATAATTTATTGAATATATACTAAAAATGTGAGTTTTGATAGGCGCGAAGGAAGGCTACAACACTGCTAAAAGCCTTGATTCAGAAGAAGCAAGCATCAAAAGAAGTACTCGGTGAATTCTTGGATGTCATATTTGACGAAATGGAGAAAGATGGTACGGCATTGGACATAGACAGAGCCGTCAACTTGATATTCACCTTCTCTCTACTCTCCCAAGAGACAACTCCCGGTATTCTAGGAGCGATTTTGAAGCTTGTAGCAGACCGCCCAAGTGTTATGCAAGAATTACAGGTTTGCTTTCTCAGAGACATTGCTTAGTTAATTTTGTGGACATGCAAACATGTTAACTATGCAAAAGAATTTCAGAGGGAGCATGAGGTGATTATTCGAAACCGGGCTGATAAGGAGGCTGGCTTAACATGGGAAGAATACAAATCTATGACATTCACTCACATGGTAAGGTTTCGAGCTAATTCCAAATCACAAATGTTAAAGCAAAAAAAAAACCTAAATTCTATATTTTTTCAGGTTATCAAAGAGACACTTCGGTTTATTAGTACACAACCTACCGTGCACAGAATTCCTGGTCAGGATCTTCAGATCGGAGGTCGGCGAATCTTTCTACATTGCATACGAATTTGCAGCTGTTATTCATTACGGATGTTCTTTTGAGCTATTTTAGCTCCACCTAGTTAGACACAAACTCAAACGAAAATAATAGTAAGACAAAACCTATGTGTTGGCT